TTATCTATGATTCTATCTTGACTTCAAATTCAAAAGTTGTGGTTTAAATATTTTTATGTTTTATACCGGATTTTTTAATTACAATTATTATTTATTTATTATTAATTACTAAATACCTAACATAGTAACGGAATGTATTAAAAATTTTATCTAAATTAATTCATATGTATTTATTGTTGATAAAAATGAAATTTTGGGCCAAAATCCATTAGAGAAGATCGACTGAAAAGTTTAGTGGCTATCAGCTACAAGAAAAATAAAATATAAAAAAATAAGAAAAATGCAATTGTTATTTTTATTGTTTTTTTTTGTCCATATAAAAATTATTGTATATTTTGTGTACATTGCATATTAGAATTACACATAATTAATTAAATAAGATACTATTTTTTTTAATATTTATAAATTATGTTTTTAAACGTTCAACTCGACCGGGAATAAAAGAAATGTTTCTCTAACATAAATATAAAACAAAAGGTTTATAATTATATACAGTAGTTTTGCTTCTGTATATTATTATATTATAATTTTAATTATATTATATTACGCTAGTAACTGGCGACAAATTCCGAAACGTTGCCAGTGTAATGATAAAAAAAAATGGAACAAATATAGCCTAAACATTTTATTAAGTACTTCACTTAATTAATGACTTATTAATATGAATTATTAATTAATGACAAATTATTCATTCCAAAATTATTAATTTTAATGAAAGATTTTTGGTATATGTCTATTAATTATAACCCTGATTACATAATACTGTATAGGGGCACATTTTTCTATACAAAGAAATATAAACATCGCTTTCTTACCACTAAGGATAGATTCAATGATATAAAATTTTGTTTATTAACTGTGTTGACAATTAGGTTACATCTGTAAATAAATAAAATTATTATTACATAAGGTAAATAAATTTGGTAGTATAGTATCCCATTAGTGAAGTTGGAATACTTGAATGACTGGTTATTACCCTTTTAAAGTGTTAATAAATAAATATCCATGAAATATGTTTTTTAAAAATGAACACTATTCTCCAATTCCTGAAAATCTATGTAAGTATCTTACTTATAAACGAATTGGATTTTAGTGGGAGTTGTATTGTAGTTGTAGGTAGACCACTGTGGGTTCTCTCTATGTCTGGCTGCTTCTTGAGAATTCCGGTTAAGTCATTAAGTCAAAAGTCTCGTGCTAGAGCAAATAGAGAATTGGCTCACATGGTTCAAAGTTTGTAGAGCTTTCAGACTTTCGATTCACTCTCACCTATTTGCCTTTGGTTAGGCTTAATTGTGTTTATGGTTAACTCCTTGTTTTTCCTTTACATGTGGTAAAAATATTTTCGGCAGAAAAGTATGAAATTTACGGTTCGTGGTTTTTTTTTTTCAAAGTAAATCACGTTTTTTGTTGAATAGGAAACGATAAAAAAAGAAATTTTAACTCCTTGTATTATAATTGTAACACAACTACGTTATATTATTTTTTTTTGTATATTATTGATCCTGGTCATACAGCTGCCTCGAAAACGATGGAATTTTGTAAACCTAAATCTGAACCCAAGATGCAAGATAAATTCGGGAATAATTCCAGGTTCTACGAAAATCTGCTTATTACAGAGTTGTTAAGTTTCTCTTTTTCGACTCCTGTTCAGGTCTGAAAAAAGGAAAAGAATTTCATGACTTCACGCCGCCTACCTTTCTCGAGTGATAGCTCTCGTCAAGGAGGAACAGCGCCTCAAGGTTTTCGAAAGTAAAATATTATGTAAATTAGATCCGAAAATAGATGGATCGAAACGGTAATGGAGACATCTGCATAATGCATAGCGTCGGGAATACCGGTAAATATAACTTAGGTTATGGAGGCATGGGGCAGGAAATAGACGTGTGAACTTTGTAAGCCGAGGTGCGAATTGTAATGAGCTAGTCCAATGTGAAAGTGATAGAAGTGTCGATAGGAGGATAACATAAAGGCTAAATAGAAATATTTCTCACGTTACAAATTGACATTCCATGCCTGAGCATGAAAATTGCTTCTAATGAGCTTAATTGAACTGTTGTCTGAAGAAACGTACAACGCCTTATATAAACCCCAGTGCATTGCGTGTTGAGAGTGTTTACCATGCCAACTCATTTCTCCTTCTAATTTTAGAATGCACAGTTAAAGTTGAACTAATAACGCATCAAGGATTTAATTTTAGAATCTTGTTTCTTTTTTAATTTTTTTTTATATTATATTTAGACCGTGCCACTAGCGGATCCACAGGAATTAACAGGTTTCAGGCTGATACTTTTCGATCATATCATAAGTATTTTTTTAATTTAATTAATTTAATTTAATGTTTAAATTTAGGTTGTTTTTTTTTGTCATTGGTCCATTTTCGTTTGTGTGAGATACCTTATAAAAATAATTGAACAATCACAATATATTATCTTTTTACATTATAATCCACATTTTATTTTTTATTATTTTTTTTTTTTTGTCTTCAAGAACCACTCAACCATCATTTTATATAGGCAGTTTTTTGTCTTTATCATAAAGCATAAATAAGTAAAAAAAGAACACCCCCCCCCCCAAAAAAAAAGAAAAATTAAATCCTGGATCCGCTACCGGACCTTATTAAAGTTTGATTTGAGGTATAATATTTATTCTTCATTCTTAATTATAGGCCAAAATATATTAATAAGGATTTCAGAATATTATGAAAATAGTTTCTTTTTTTCACTACTGTATTGAGGTAGAGAAACATGAAATTTTATTTAAGGAACGAATAATCCGACTGACCAACTGTGCAAGTGAGTAAATACCCTGTATTCATTCTTTAAAAAAAATTTGATGCAGTGCGCGCACAAATTTCACTTACCACTCTACTTTGAGTAGAAATAGGTATTTTCATACGTGAGGAAGTGAAAATAAAACAGTTAATTTATGTAAAATTTTTTTTGAAGGGATTCAAACTATTAAAGTTAATAATTAAAATGTTTAAATTAATAAAATTTAAATGTGGATCTTTTGTACAAATTATAAGCTTTATCCAAAACATCTTACACGAGACACGTTAACATTAGTAGATATATGTATCATATATTATACATATAAGTAGATTCTATAGGTTTCATTTTTTTTTTTTTTTTTTATGTGTAAGCGAAATATGTGAAGAGCTAATCTAACAATGTACAGCCGTGAGTAGTTTAAATAGAGGAAGAATCGGGATTAGGCAAGCGTCCTCGTACGATTTCGATTTAACATTTTTTATCAACGACTGACCATTATTTCTCCTTTAGTTAGTAATGAGATTCTTTCATGGTTTAAATTTATCTATTTTATAACTATTTACAATGTAAAGTGTTCTATTATTTTAAATAACAAAAAATAAATGTACTTTAGAGGAAGGAATTTTGATAGTTCGGCATTTAATCCCGGTTAGATTATTTTAATGAAGATACCACCTGACTGATATTGAAGATCATCCGATATAACGTTGATGTGGCTATATTAATTGAAATTGTTTGAGCTGTTTTTGAGAAAAAATTATAAAATCGCCGATATAAACTCTCACTTCTGATTGATTTTGGCGAAAAAGTTGCTGTAACATTCCAACATATACCTATCTTAAATACATAATTTCGGCTTCATACAAATTTTTGTTTTTTGATCTCAAACGTGATATCAAACCCTCAAAACTTGCATATCCGTTCAAAACACGGATTCGAAATTTTTCACGATCGCAATACTTCTCCTTACTGTGTATTTCATTTATAGGAAAGTGGAGGTGAAAATTAATTATTTAATTAATTTAAGGTGAAAAATAAAAACTGAACTTGCTGGTTTTTTTTACTTAAGTATCACCAGTGACTTTTATTTTAGTTATTTAAAACTGTTACACATTTGTCAAATACACACGATTTAATAAATTATTACGATTGCACTAATGTGGTTATAACCATAATTTTAACTTATTTATTGAAAAATAGCACAATCCGTCTCAAGGACATTTATAATAGTGTTCACAGATCACATTCACACTCTATGTACAATAAATAAAATAAATTTCACAGAAAAATAATATATATACAATAAATAAGAATAAAATAACCTAAAAATAAATAAATAAAAAGAACACATACATACCTATATACAATATTTACAATCTGGCGAGAGAACTCCAAACCAGACTTGTCGCTCCAACCAAAAGGGAAAAGCATGACTCAAGGAGATCCCTGCGCTTCTCGCTCAACCGCGTCACTGGGGCTAAACCCAGTGGAGATTGAGCAAGAGTGCTTTAGCCACATACACTCACGTCGTGATTGGAGAATCGGGCCATTAAAAAAAAAAAAAACTTCTTAAAATTAAATAACATTATTTCATCACCAATAAATGGCATCAAAATGATATGAAGAAGGGAATATTACACAAAAAAAGTAAATATTTCCGAGGACATAATATGAAATTTTATTTATTGTTAGAATGCTTGTTATTCTCAAAGTTAACCTATCTCACAAGCACGGGCGGATCTACGGGGGGGGGCTTTCGGGCTGAAGCCCCCCCCCCAAAATGGAAAAATATAACCATATTTTATCGAACAAAATATTAAAAAAGTATCTCTTAAAGTGTTATTATTCGTGTGATTAATATTAAAAGGGCTTTAGGAATCACTTAAACACCATTTCATACAGGTAGTTAGTTTCTTTCTTTTTTTCCAAAGTAATTATCTTTATTTTTATGAAAAAAAAAGCTTTCGGGCTGAAGCCTCCCCAAAATTAAATCCTGGATCCGCTAGTGCTCACAAGGCACATTATCTATTGTTTAATATAAATTTTCAATGAAACATTTATTCTTTTATGGATTATGATTTCTGAATAATAACTGCTATTTTACTAACAGCAACTGTTACTAAAAGTGGCTGGCGATACTTGAGTAAAAATACCCTTCATTGCTTCCTTGGTAATGTTTTATGTGGTTCCAGTTAATTATTACGAGTCCTCGAGTTGGTAGGGGATAATGTTTTCTGTATTTAGGCTTCCAGTATTTGTTTTGGTCTTTTTCTCCCCATTTGGAGAGGCGAGTTGGGATATAAGGGAGATCCTTTGATGGCGTGCCGCCCGCCGGCCACAATTACCCAGCTCCCTTGGGATACCTGTGGGATCCATTGTGGGTCCAGATATTTCCTGTGGTCAGGCCTTGAGATATCCATGTCTAATACACCAATAAATATCCTGGACATGAACAATATACTTCTTGTATTATTGAACTTATGTAGTTTTCCACTGATCTTTTGTCCTAATATATAATTCAATTTTTCGCCATACCCAATTCATAAATTTAGGCATCATTAGAAAGGCAATTATTACACTTATCCCAACAGAGGCGTGCCAATAGAAAACGGCTCCTAAGGCTCACTAGAAACGTTTTTTTTTGTTTATATAAATATTAATTTCTAGTACTATTATTTTGCTGTTGTTATATTTAATTTATTTTTATTTCTTGTACATGCGGTGTGAATGAACTACTCTATCACTATTTAGTAATGTTTGTCCAATCAATGAATGCTCGAAAAGGGGGTATAGAAGTAAATGGTGGGGACAACATTTTTGACTTTTGGACATTGTTTGAACTATTTAGGGGATACAAAAACTAGAAGTCCCCACTCCTAGATGCTGCCTCAGATGTGGGGGGAGGGGCCCTAGAAGGTCACTTTTGTCGGTTTTTCGCTTATATCTTAAAAACTATCCATCGCATCGACGAAGATGTTATATACAAAATTAAAGCTGATAAAATTTGCAATATGATTAAGTATATAACTTTTTTTGCTACCTCGCTTAGTTTCCGAGATATCTGTACTCAACCATGGCTAATTTAAAAAAAAAATGTTGACTCATGTTTATTGCGCTTATATCAGGAAAACTATCTATCGCATCGACAAAGTTACAACTATTTATACAAATTTAAAAATGATAAAATTTGCAATATGATTGATTTTTTTTTCTATCTCGCTTATTTTCTTAGATATCCGGCCTCAATTATAGCTAATTTAAAAAAAATTTTGCCTTGGGTTTATTACTGTTATTTGGATTTTCGCTTGTATCTGGAAAACTATCTATCGTATCGAAAAAGACATTCTATACAAAATTAAAGCTTACAAAATTTTCAATATGATTGATTCTATACTTTTTATCGCTATATCGCTTAGTTTCCGAGATATCAGTCCTCAATGATCGCTAGTGTGGAAAAAAAATTGTACCTTATGTTTTTTACTGTATTTGACAAGCTGACTCTTGATTGATTTGTTCTACGATTAAGTCGTGGGGCAGAAATTTTTTTAGAATATATTTTATTTTACTAGTTTATCTTCAAGGGTTCAAAAATTAGATCAATCTTAACTTTATATGTAAATTTCGAGAATTCGGCAGAAAAAAATCATTTTTATAAGATCCATTATTGTATATATATATATATATATATATATATTATATATATATATATATATATATATATATATATATATATATATATATATATATATATATATATATAGAAATTTAGATGTATAGAGAGTTATAGCAATATAATAATAACGAATACAAAAATACAAAAATCGTTTTTTTTTTTAATTTTCTCGGAATTTAAATTAAAGTTAAAATTAATCTAATTTTTCAACCGTTGATAAATTTTTTAATTTTATTTATTTATATGATATTCACAACTGTATACAAAAAATACATCTAGTAAATTCGCACATGGATATAATGACATGAAACAATTTTTATGGAAGAAACAAAGTTGATATTCATTTTTCGCATCTCAAAAAACATTAAATAGGAATTTTTATAGCAATCGAAAGAATAAAATTTTCTGCGCTAAATTCTTGCCTAGACTTGACAGTGGAAATTTCGTCAACAGCCACAAAATTTGGGATAGTTTTAGAACGCCTTCAATGATCCACAAAAAAATTAATAGGGATAAACCCGATCTTTGTAAGTAAATTAAAACTTTTTTTAAAATTATTTCTTAATGATATTTACAACAGTATTAAATAAATATATCTAGTAAATTTGAACATAATGGATATAATGACCTGAAAACACTTGCTGAGAAACTAACCATGGTAGCACTCTAATAATATGTCTATATTAGGAGATCACGTGGCCATCTTCTTTTCAGACGCCTCGGAGGGTTATCAGGAATTGAACAGGAAGCAAGGTCAGAAACAAGAGGGTTGGGATGGTTATGAAGTCTATTATGGAAGGACAGATATCTGGATTGGGCCAAATCATATACATAAGGAACATTAAGATCATTATGGATGGTTTTATTTGCAACAAAGTAAGGAACATTGAGGATTTTACGAAGGATTTTGGGTTGTAAGGATTGGATACGAGAGGAATTTGAAGGTTTGGTGGAGCCCTATAGCTCAACTCCGTAAGTCCAAATAGGCCTTATTATAGTCATGTAAATGAGTCTTTTGTAATTAATTGGAAGTTTAGAGCGTTTGTCTAGTAAGTGTTGAAGTAGTCGGAAACGTCGAGCGGTTTCTTGTCGTTTCTGTCTGATATGAGGATTGCAAGTTAGACGTTTGTCCAGAGTTGATAAAGATAAACTTGTAAAATAATCTATATTCTTAAAGATAATTTAATTACTAAAAATTTTCTTTCTCACGACTTAGTCACAGAAAGAAGCAATCAAGAGTTAACTAGTCAAATACAACAAAAAAATATAAGGTAAAACAATTTTTACAAAAAGTGACCTTCTAGGCTCAGCCCCCCCCTCCCATATCTGGCTCACCATCTAGGAGTGGGAACTTTTATTATGTTTACCTCCTTTCTAGTCCTAACAATGTCCTAAAGTCAGAAATTGTTTCCCCGCCATTCCTATAATCATTCATTTACTGGACTTTAATTGTGACATATTGTAATGTTTTTCAAGGTAAGTCGGTAAAACCATTGCACTTACATTTCCCCTTTCTGGTCCTCTGCAACCTAAACATATCTATATTATTGCTCAAAAACTGTTCGAGATAATTTAATTCTAAGTATACCATCGTAAATTAATCTACATTTGTTTGGAGTAAACACTCATAAAATTTAATAATGTCCATTATAAAAGAGACTTTCAGGAGATCTATTATGGCCGCTGTGCAGATATACGCTGGTATGGGTAACTGCACCAAAACTGCGGCCATAATAGACATCATGAAAGTCCTTTTTTTCATTGACCTTAGTGAATTTAATCCATGTTTTATAAAAAAAAAAAAAAAAAAAAAAATTGTCTAATTTACGATGCTGCACTTAGAACTTAATTATCTTGAACAGTTTCTGTGCAATTCCTTCTTATTCAATTTAAAGCGTGACTATCTTAAGAAAAACACAAAATCGATCTTAACTTATTTTCCGTCCAGAATCAAGTAAATGGAACTCAGCCGTTAGACTCATGTGTGTAACGCTCATTTGGGTAAAATCGGCTCTAGTTAAAATATTTCAGAAACTAAAAATCGGGCCTGCATACTGTAAGCATGGCATATTTTCAGCATTTCATTCTCTTTGTAATCAGTAATTATTCACGTGTGCTATTATTATTGTTGCCCAAAATCGGTATTGGTCTAGCACTTTGCAAGACCAAGACCAAGGCCGCCTAACTGTTGTATGACCAAGACCAGGACTAGTAAAAAAAATAGATTTTTTAAATAAAAATTATGGCAAAATAGTTACTAATACTGGACAATCTTAGTTAAACTATGTTTATAATTGGTATAACCAATATACTTTTGCATTTAGCTCCTCTAATTTTTCATTCGAGCTTAGTTAGGTTTCTGGTATCTAAAAAATTACAGTAATGTCTCTATAGGAATAAGCTAATAAGTAACAGCAAGGCTGTTGCGAGACTCTTACGCAAGACCAAGACCATGACCAAGACTGAGCTTGCAAGACCAAGACTCGTCTCGATCTCGCATTTGGGCAACACTAGCTATTATTCACAATTTGTATATTGACGTTCCATCGTATTAGAGAGGCATAGTGTCAAAAACCATATCCATATTATTACGAATTCCATACTAAATATTGGCATATCAAATATGATGAATCATACTAAAATAATGAGAATATTTATTCTATTATATTTATTTATCATATTATCTACAGATTTATCAATATAATATTTATTCTACTGTACAAAAATTAATTAGAATATAACATATTTTAGTTATCATGAATCTATTGTTTCACGATACTGACTTAGTATGATCAATCAGAGCAAAGTTTACCAGAGTAATTTAAACACAATTATGATGCTATATATTGTAAATGTTATTATTTTTTTAATATAAAATAAAAAAATTATTTATATTTCATATTATTAAGTCCGCCTAGTTGATGTTTTTACTTCTATCGTGTGGTCTTAAACACAGCCAGTAGTTTTTTTGTTTTTTGTTTTCGTAAACTTTGTCTAGAATCACCTCCCAGACTTTGGCAATTAAGAACTGAAACACCCTGTATATATGCAATATTCATAAATTTATGTATTGTGTCTTAATTCGTTTGTATTACCTTGGTGCATTTATTATTCTTGAATTGCATTGTTAGAAAGTGAAGGGTCACTTCTGTTTCTTGGTCAGGATGGTCGCGGTCCATGTCTTTCTCCACGGCTATCTGGCACCGTGACCGCGTCATGGTGGCTGCTTAGGGACTTACACATTTTATGTATATATTCTTTTCAAGTCCATCTTTTTAAGTTTCTCAATCTGGACAAAAGAAACAAGAGAAAAAAAAAAAAAGATCTCAACAGCGGATACTTATTGTAGGAAATTGTTTCTTCAGAAGAAGCCAAGATTGGTCTTTCTTCAAAAAGTTGTGTAACGCCCGTTCCTTTTCCTTCTTTGTTGTAGAAACTAGTCGCACTGTTTGAATGAAGTTAATTACAACTGTTTCTCTGTTGTGTAATCTTCTGTCGGTCTCCTTTTATAAACTTTTTACTTTTTCTCTCCTTTATACTCCCTCTGTGCGATTCTTGGGAAAATACCTCGAACCAATCCGGCAGATGAATTTCGAAAAGGAGTATACTGTAAGAACCAGAACTGATTGCAATTGGATTGATGTACTGCAATCAACAGCTTCATAAATGAGCACACCATTAGCGACTAAATTGCAGCAGAAGGCTTCGGATTTATCGACCTCCTTCTGTTTGCAATGAGATGTTACATGCTTCATATTTTAGTTTTAATTTTTGTTA